TGTTCCTTCGCTGGCATTTTCCACATTTCGTTTTCTCCCTTAATAACAAATGTGTCCATTCTGATGCTCAATTTTACCGAACTAATGGCTGCTGATGACTATTTGAATTGCACTCTGCCAAAGTGCGCGCTTGTAAGTGTTCGTTAAATGCTTAACGTGAGTAGCCTACAGGTCGACTCATGTCTGAAAATAATATATGAAAAACAAAATTATTTTACATAAAAACATTATAGCTTTTATTTGTTTAGTACATTTTTAAATTAATGTAAAGACTAAAATTAATTGTAAAACTGAAAGTTATTTTTTTTAAATTGTGTACAGCATGGTGGGCCGCATTTGAATTCGTGACGGGCCGCGGGTTGAGAACCACTGGCATTATGCATTCTTCTATATTTGTGTGTATGTAAATGTGGGTCAGAGCAGGCGTGTTTGTTCACAGGCAGGTTTTACATACAAACCCTTCATCTTGAGAAATTACTCCTATTGCTATTTTTTCCTCTCCCTGCATTCTGCCTACAGTTTGGGACATGTTCTGTAAAACAAAACAATTTCTCACACTTTTGCTGAATAAGGTTAATTGGGGCAGTAATAAAACTTGATGTTTTTTTTTTATGTAAGATTATGATTAATGTGATTATTTAATGATTAATTTGTTAATTATTTAATCGGTATGATTTGGAATTAATATGAACAATTTTAAGTTTGTCTGTATCCATGTGCTTGGGTGAACAGATGGCCATGTCAATCGCAGGAATGTAAAGATACCCGTGACTATTGACCAAAACTAAAATATAGTAGAAGACCAAACTCAGTCTCCCCAACATTTTTACATTTAAAGTTAAATGTATTTAGATGTACTGTAATTAAGTAAAGTAAAACGTTTATTCATATCACAAGAACTAATCAGATGATGGCTGGGTATGTCCAATGTTATGAATTTGCACAACAGCGAGCATTTCTTCAACAGTGTCCAATTCAACGAGTCTTCCGCTCGCCCACTGCAGACCTCTAACCATTGTCTGTAATCTATTATAAAAAACAGAAAGAGTAAAGTCGTGTCTGAAAGCTCTATACATTCAACAATATTATTGATCTGACTGTACTGACGCTGCTGTATGAAACTGAACTAAGCTGACATCACTATCTGAAGAACCAACCTACTTTTATAGATGAAATATGAACTAATTATTATAATTAATAATAACTGATTCAGCACTGAACTGACAGCTGAACAATGACAATATATCATTTATTTTTTTGCTGATATCACTGTAAAGCTGCTTTGAAACAACCTGTATTGCGCTATATAAATGAGGGTGACTTGACTTAAATCCGTGGGCGGGCCGTGCCCTATGCCGTCCATCAGCGCGTACCTTATGACTTGCCTTGAAATTATGGAGTATCCTCTTCCACATTGTCCTCTTCCACATTGTCCGTTAGACACAAGTGAGCGCATTCCTGAAAATTTTGCATGCAATTGTTCACAAAATTTCTCAACAGCATGGTTCCTCTGCCGCCTGTATTTTGAAATACTATACTCCTCCTTCATTCGTAACACAACGTCATTATCATGTGACCATAGATAGCTGACATGCGACCACGTACTATGGTAGGTACGATGGCACGTCACATTTATATGCATTATTCATTAATGACATGTCCTTAGGTAGATATTTATGTCACTATTATATGTTTAATTAATTTTATGCAAATTGTCAAGTCTTCGGCCTTGCCATTGGCCAAAACATTAACGTCTGTACACGAAATAACGTGTTTAGCCGCAATTACGCGTCCACGCGTTATATCGTCTGTACATGTAACGTCTAAAGAAGTATTTATCTTTACGGCCTTCCATAACTTTTGGCTTTTCCCACCTTCCATAATGTTGCAACGTCATATTAAAGAATCCGTGCGAACGCCATACAGCTGGATATTATTGCATCTGGTAAGTCGACCTATGGAAGGCTGATGGCGCCAAATGTCTTTAAACGGAACGCGTGAAATGCGACCGTGTCAACACGCACAATTTGCCCGCGTTAACGCGGCAATTTTGAACGCGTTTCTGTTGTACGTGTAGACACGCACGTTTTGCCCGTGTTAAGGCGTCAGTTTTTGCCGCGTTTATTTGGTACGTGTAAAGACGCACAGTTTGACCGCATTAAGACGACAAATTTGAACGTGTTTCTCAACGCACACATTCTAGCCGTGTTCAAACATGTAATATTTTTTAAAGCAGATTTAAGTCCAGATTTACCAACATATTAATTTTTTTAGCATTGCTTTACTTATATATACTGTGCTATAGTAAATTAATAAATGTTAAATAAATGTCATATTAAGTAAATGCTAATAATCCATATTGTACAATTGTTAATTATAACATATATTTATGTTATTGAATGTTTGTTTTAAGTTATATAGGCCTATCATTTTTGAAAGTATATATAACTTCACACAGAACATATTATAACTGAATATACATAGACATAAAAATGAATAAAATATTTATATTTCTGTAATGATATTTATAAATATAAGTAAATAGCACTATGTACACAAAGGTGTGGAAAACGCATTATGATTAGGAAAGCTCATAAAACAAAGTGAAAAGTGCATTTTTAGGACTATAAATTAGGACTATAAATAGGCCTGTATTTTCACCTACAGATAATGGAATTAAATTAATCAACATACGTTTTATTAGCCATCCATTCAACATCCACTGATTGCTATTGTAAGAGGACATTTTTTCCATATTGTCTAATGATTTCAAGTTGCATTAAGTCAGTCATCGTTCTTATAAACGCAGCATATTTTGGACATGACTTAATCACAACATTCAAATCTTCATCAGTGTGGTTGGAAGACGCCAGCTCCACGCAGTCAGAATAGGTCCTTTGGCAGTGTGCTAAAAAAATTCTAAGAGCCATGAAGCTGTTGTTTTCTACCCGAGAAAGACCGTTAAACTAAAGAGAAAAAAAATAATGACAAATCATGACATAAGACTGACATCACACACAACGTAGCAATGCATTTATCCTCACGAACAAATATTACGTCTGACGTTTGCATACGTATATGGCAGTGTACCATTACGACATTCTTCACGAATACATATGACGTCTGACGTTTGTATACGTATATCCCAACGTATACAAACGTCAGACGTCAAGTTTATTCGTGAAGAATGTCGTAATGGTACACTAATACATACGTATTCAAACATCAGACGTAATATTTGTTCATGAGGGATAATACATTGTGATGTCAGTGTTACGCAATGATTTGTCATATAATACGTCAGTGCATGTCCTTTTTGCTTGTTTTGCTTAGCTATAGTTGCTAGCGGTAATTCTGTTCATAGTTTTGAACAATAGAAACGTAGGCCTACATATATTTTCAACACAGGACCACATGAGTTTTAGCAAATATTTATTATATCCACTTAAATTCCTTTTGCTCGACAGATTTGCCTGCTTTAATACTGCAGAGATAACAAACCCACCGCCCACTCACAGAACCATTTCACGGGGGTTAAGTGCTTGCCTGATCGGACTAGAGAGAATAAAACCCACATTCAGAACCATTTCACAGGTGTTAAATGCTTGCCTGATCGGACTAGAGAGAATAAAACCCACATTCAGAACCATTTCACAGGTGTTAAATGCTTGCCTGATCGGACTAGAGAGAATAAAACCCAAATTCAGATGTGCAGTTTACCCTTGCGGTGTACAAAGATGGTTTAAGTCCATTCATCACTGTATGTAAGCGTGGAAAATAGAATCCATGCGCGACTTCAAAATATTATGCAGCAATATGCGTTCTTCAAAAGACAATGTGGGGAATTATTGCAGTAAAAAGGGGGCCTGAGGGGGCCCGGCCACCTCGGTCACTGTGCCCCCTCACCAATGGTGCCGTCTCCGTAGTGGGCGCCCTGATTTTAGTCGGTGAGGCAAGGTTCTGCCCTGGGATTGCATGCCATCTGTTCGGTTTCATAAGGAGATCATTTGGGGTCTTATATTATTATTACAGCTTCAACTGAGGATTCTTCCTCTAGCACCTCCGTAAAACCAAGCCTGCAGGGAAGATACTTGGCTGTGAAAATTCTGTCTTAAATTGTGTTATACTGCAGAAATCACAGTCTGAGCGCAATAATTATTATATTTTTAAATCTGAATAATGATCAATGATACGCACTTGATTTAGAAAATGTCTGTAGGCCTACTGTAGGCCTACCGCTGCCGTACATGAGCTGTTGGTGTTGTGCGGCTACTGTACAGTACATTACGCATCCAGTCTCGAATGCAATGACCATAAAATGCGCACAAATGACTGTTTCTTAAGTCTGATGATGTTCCGTAAGTTAATTTATACAGTACATACATTGCTTCCAGCTGCCTTTTCACCGCATTTTTTTCTCACGGCTGCTGCATGGTATTGACACAAAAATACTTTATTCATAACCAGTAAAACGGCATTTTACTTTTACTGTATGTGATCTAAAACGACGTGGAATAAAATATGATGGACGTGGTTGGTGATTTTAGCCTACTCATTTTATTCTAAACCTGTTAAAGAAAAACCTCACCGGTAATATTTTCATTTGCTATTGCAAACAACAAAAACTTTTAAAACTTTTAACTGTTATTATGTAAAAAAGACTTACATAATAACAGTTTGTGTTTCATGGGAAAAGCTAAACCCCACATAAAAATAACTAATATTTATTTTTATTAATAATTTATAATAAAACTTTAGGCCTACTTACGTTTTCACAATAATAATTAGTCTACTGCAATGTCTTAAGGCCCAATTATAGTCTATACTTTGGAATTATGAACTGAAGGGGCGTACATGTGTACAAGGTGTTTCAGAGCCACTCACACATTCAAAACCAATATTAAAGCATAAACAATATATATTAAAATATTAAAGCCTATTCTAATTTTTAACCCATGAAAAAAGAGAAAAATCCAGCTTAATTTCTGTTCAAATGACCTGAAGGTACACGGACCTGGGAGTAGGCTAAGAGTAACCTATCAATAAAAAGAAAATAAACAACAAA